AGAAAGGGCTACTTGGAACAAAGCAAGAGTCATCAAAGGAAAAGAGCTACCTGCTACCAAAGTGAGAACTACTTGGGGTTTCCCACTCACTTTTTCTACCCACTCTCTACCCACAGTGAATTGGAGCCACACATCTCTATTATGAATTGAGAGATGTAGGACTGCAATTCACAACGGGTGAAGAGTGAGTAGAAAATCTGGGCTCAGTGAGAACAACCTGTGAAATGGCTACCTTTTGCAAATAGTCTTAAGAGCCATTTAGACATAAATGACTTGGCTCTGTGTGTTCTAATAGTCTTAAGGCTTTTGCCTTTTGGTGTAATCTAAGCTGTCCAAAAATGTAGCAAATCAATACAAAAAAAATTGAAATATCAAAAAAAGCATCCTAATGGGATATCAAATCAGCCCCCCACAACGTTCCACAGTACATCCCTGTCATGTATTGGGAACATCTCCCGATGATAATACTAGAAATGATAATGTCAACATCGGGTCAAACCAATACTTTTAGCATTGATTAATTAGAAGCTTAATGCTAGACATTCTAGCGAAAGTCAACAACATGTGATTAATCTAATTAAGCATATTTTAAAATGAAAATAAAACATGCGATTTAAATGATTAAACTCGAAATATTCTAGAATAAAATGGCAAACTTGAAAATAATAATTAATAAGAAAATTTTAGAAATTCTAAAATCCAACTCGACCAAAACCTATAAATAGGGGTCCCCATACCCATTTTTGGGGACCTTGAACCCATTACCCACATTTGGATCACCATGGATCCATTTGCTCTTAGCTGGCCCATTCCTTCTCTCTCCTCTCTCATTTGTCCCTCTTTCCTCTCTTTCTCCTCTTTTGTAACCATGACTCCGGATTTCAGAGTCTAGACCACCATGTCCAATCAACCTAAACATCTAGTCTGTCAAATTGGCCTCCTAGAAATCAATGAATTAGTTTCAATCATCCCATTAGCACTAAAATTTCAAACTAATTTGGGCTGTCCAAACAATATATCAAATCAATCTACAATCCAGGCTATCAAATTAGTCTTCTAAATCAAATATTTAGTCTTGGTTATTGAAGCAAAACGGTGTAGCACCAAGCTAAAAGTCCCTGTGTGAAGTGTAAACTTTATTGTTCTTGAGGAGTTTCCCCCATTTCTCCCCTGTTTTTTTATCCATGTATTTCCCTTCATACCTCTTCAAAGCCTACAACAAAGCTGATCAGATCGTCCCTGCTTGTTATGTATAGATAATTTTAAAAATGATAAAAAGATAGAGAAAAAAATAATAATGAAGGTGCTTGACAACTTGAATGGTTTTATTTTTCAAAACAAAAACAATTGCCATGTCAAAAAAACAAAAGCAGATTTTCTTAATTGAGTCATTAATTTGCAACCCAAAACTCGTTTATTGTAAGAAGAGCTAAACAACAAAACCGATCTTATATTCAGTACAAAATATAATATAATTTGGCCCAAATATAGGGGTGCAACTCGGGTGGGCTTGAATTGAGCATTTGTTAAACTTTGAATAGACCTGGCCCGAGAGCCCAAGCCCAGTACAGTGTAAATTCTTAGGCTGCGTTTTGTTTGAAGAAAAAAATAGGGAAATGAAAGAAAATGTAAGGAAACCTTTATAAAACTTGTATAGGTTATCTTTCCTTTCCTTACCTTTTCCTTCAAACCAAACATAACCTTAAGATCATGTGCCTGACATAGTGACATGCAGCGATATCAATGAGAGATATGGATTTTGAAAAGGGGAAAGTTGGTTAACATGATTTTGATTCCCATTGATCAATATACCCATATTTTTTTTTTCAGATTTATGTGGGGTCCAAGGAAAATTTATTTTCCTTAGGTAAGTAACTTCTTTGCCTTGGGGAAGTTGTTAACACTTGGATGGGACAAAATTGTCCCTTTTAATAATGACCTTTTATGGTTAAAACGATAATTATTTTATTTACCAGAAAAATAAAAAAAATGGAAAAATAACTTGCCAAAAAGCAAATGGGCCTTTAAATAAAATTATGGTTGGGATGTATGGAGGAGCTTCAATTAATTACAAGAGAGATGTTTCATTTCAATCTTGAATAGTGGGCCCGTAGAATCAGAAAATTAACATAAACAGCTAAAATAGAAGAATAAAAAGCTAAATGAATATTGAAAAGACCATCTACAACACTTATTGAAAGAAGTGATCCTCGCTGTTCGTAAGAATGCCCAACCTGACCAAACCGAACCCGGACCGACCTAATCTGAGTCGGCTGGGTTTTCATTCGTATTGGTTGGTTTCGGGTTGGACACATACAAAAACCGATATCTCGGGGCGGTTTCGGTTTAGAAAACCGAAACCGACTTGACCCGAACCGAACTAGTATTTCTTCTACTAGTTTGGTAGTTCCTACTTCCTAGTTTGAGTAGTTTCCTAATTCCTACTAATCTTCTAGACTTCTACTATAAATAGAAGGCCCATTAGGCAATTACAATTAGAATTCAATTAATTATGTGTCATTTTTTAGTTTTTTACCTAGATTAGGCAATTACAATTAGAATTCAATTAATTAGGTGTCYTTTTTTAGTTTTTTACCTAGATTAGGCAATTACAATTARAATTCAATTAATTAGGTGTCCTTTTTTAGTTTTTTACCTAGATTAGGCAATTACAATTATAATTCCTACTAGAACTAGAAGGCTCATTAGACAATCACAATTAGAATTCCTAGTTTCTTACTAGTCTTCTAATTCCACTTTTGTCTTCTCTTAAAATTTTCTATTTTCTAACTTAACTTGGTTGGTCCGCCCCCCTCAACTCAAGTCCTCAACTAATTCAGAGTTTATTCGGCTTTGTACAGGAGCAAAACCGAAACCGACCCAACCCGACTCAAACCGACCAGGTCGGTTTGGCCTATCAGTGGGTCGGTTTCGGTTCCCACCTCTGGTAACCCGACTAGGTCGGGTCGGTTGGGAAAATCCCATGAAACCGACCCAACCCGACCCATGAACACCCCTACTAAATAGAGATAGACCAAAAAAGATTTGGGTGGACGTAGTAAGGAATGATTTAAGTGCCCATAAATTGACAATGGATATGATATGCATTCATTTTTTGGATTTCTAGAGGGGAAAAAGTTGGTCAATGAGATTCATAATCCCATTGACCAAGAAACCTTTTTTTTTCAGGTTTATGTGGGGACCAAAGAAAGTTTATTTTTCTGGGTATCTACCCATCTACCCATCTAGGGAAAAGTTGCCAACACTCTGGATGGAACAAAAATGCCCCTTTTAATAGTGATTTTTTTATGGCTAAAATGGTTATTGATTTATTTACCTATAAAATAAAAGAACATGGGTAAATGCACTTACCCAAATAAGTAACTTATCGAAAAGCGAACGACTGATCAATCCTATAAAATTATGATCGGGCTTAGATGACGATGACAATGACAATCAATATTAAAAAGAGGGATTTTACTCTGGTATTTCGTCTCTTGCACATTTAGGGGTTGTTTGGTAATATGGTTTACTTTGAAAATATCATGGCATAGTTTGTCCCAACCCATGCCAAGGTGCAAAATGCATTCACTTGAGGGGAAGCTCAGTTCGGTCTACATCATAGCGTGGATTGAACCGAGCAATATCATAATTTATCATCCACGTTTTAGTAATTTATTTAAAAAAATTAGTGGATCAATTCACGCTATAGTACATGCAAATGTTTTTGTAAAGTATTGTAATAAATTACTAAGGTTGCGTTTGATTGCAATGCAATTTTATTTGTACTAATACAAATGCATGGGAGTGTAAATGAAAAAAATGCAAATTCTCATTTAATTTTTTCTGGGTTTTACTTTATTCTGTTTCATGTTTTAATTTATTTCATTTATATTTCAATTAAACAAAATAAGCTAAAATTTAAAACAAAAATAGGTCAGAATAAATCATTTGCACTGCCATAATTTTATATCAATACAAATTTATTTGCAGTGCAACCAAACACAGCTTAAAGTACTTCGTTAAAATTTTGTCCAATAAAGCATCTACACTGTCCACACCAGTGTAAGACGTCTTGGCATAGTGTGGTGTGTTTCATTGGGGCCCAATAGATTGAAATGCTCTACGCTTTATTGAACCACACTACTGAACAACCCCTGAATCAGTCAGTTTTCAAAAACCCAAGCAGTTTGTTTATAAATCAGCTAGTTTTTTGGTACATATTTTTTCCTTTCTTGGTACTATAAACCAGTTAGTTTGAGCTAAAGGTGATCATTTCAGCCCGACTAACCTAGGCACACAAGTTTCATGGCTGGGTCTAGACCTAATGCATCAAGCCCGGCCTGGCATGTATATATTCAGAGACCGAATCAGCCCCCCACAAGACTGCCCCCCCACTATCCCACAGCACATCCCCACCGTGTATTGGAAATATTTTCCGATAATAACATCATCATTTTTGATATTATCATTGGAAGATGTTCCCAATACACGGCAGTGATGTGCTATTGGACGTTGTGAACAGGGGCGGAACTAGAAAATTTTCATAAGGGGGATCAAAGCCTAAGATGAATTAGAGGGAGGAGGGGAACAAATATGAATGGTCATAAGGGGGCCAACCCATTAGAGTGGGAAAATGGGGGAAGGAAAATGGGGGATTTTTGGGCCATAGGAGGGGGCCATGGCTCCTGGTTGTGGGGGACTGATTTGAATTCATATATTCAAGTAATATATATTTTATATATAATGTCTAGATACGTATATATGTTATATTATATATTTTATATATAGATATTATAATATGACACTTATAATATATATTATATAATATTTATTATAAAAATATTATATATAAGAGACATAGGTCTGGAATCAAGCCCAATCAGGCCTGGGGCCAGGCTTATGTTTCAGGCCCGGAACCTGGGCGGCCCGTGATGGACTGATGGTTTAGGACAGATCGGGTCCGGGTTTACAAGGTAATTCGCCATTCTAGGAAAAACAAAGGATACTTTCAGTCATTCGCCATATTCCCTCCGGGTGTGGTACCAGCAATGGCGTATTTGTTTGCTTGTTAATCCATTAACTTGAATGAAACCATGAGTACGTAGTATGATCTAGTGAGGGCGAGACTTAATACTTCTTCGTGGCAGATCGCCGGTTCGCGCCTTCAGACTTACGCGGTCAGTTTCTCGTTTCGCCCTCTTGTTCTTACCGTTTCCCTTCTTTTAATCGCGGTGATCTGATTTGGATCAGATAAACCCTAATTGAATTTGAAACTGCGAGGGCTCTAATTGTTCAATTCATCAGAGTGGGTGCTGAAATTTGGTGAGATTGGGGTTGTAGAACGAAGTTACGTGTTCAATCACAAAAGGCAGGGCAATTATTAGTTTTTTGTTTTACTATTGATTTGGAAACATAGAGGTTTTGTTGATTCAGAAGATTAGATCTTGAAATTTTAATTCAGGGTGTTTGATTGCGAGAAGGAGAAAACTGTAAGAATTGTCTTCTGAAGTTAGGGGAATTCGGTGGCTTGAGTTCCTTTATTTCTTTCAGAAAATTGAAGTTATGATTCAAGATTTTTCTAAACAATTGCAATTTCCCCTCAACTAGCAATCGATGAATGGGATTTGAATTTTGCCATTGGAGAAGCGGATTAGGAGAGTTTTGAAACTTGGAGGGGATTGAGTCCTTTGAAGAATTGAAGAATCTTGGAATTCAAAAAGAGATAAAAATCATGTTCTATGGGGCGATGGTATGGGATCCTTGGCTCATTGTCTCCCAGATTGTGTGCCTGCAGTGTTTATACTATCTTACTCTTGGACTATTCATGTTCGTTCTTGTTGGGACTCGTGTGTCTAGAATGAGCCTAGTCTATTTCTTTGATTATGCTACTCTGACTGCTTCTACAGTCACTGGTTGGTGCGTCATTTCCTCATTTCTACTCAGTGCACCTGCAGGGTAAGGATTTTATTCTTTTCTCGTTCACTATTTTAATTAATTTTTGTTTTCATTCTTTTAATTGGCTGAAGTCTTAGTCATATACTCATATTATCTGAATGCATTATATATCAGAATTTAGAATGGTTTATTATCTGGCAGATTTCAACAATGCATGCCGTTTAATTTTCCTATGCTCTTTTGGCATATTTTTGGTAATAAATAAAAAAGAAAAATTATTAATGAAAAGAGAGTAGTACATTTGACAGTGATGATATATCACCAGAATACAAAGTTACAAAGGAGATCAAAGCAAACAAAAAGGGAACACTCAATAGAAGAATAAGAAATACAAAAAAAAAACCAATCACATGGGAAACTTTTAAGCCAGCTCTAGAATGTTCCAAAAACCAGAACCAAGGTCTTTATTTGTGACTCCTTCAAACTCAGGGAGAATGAAAACCCAGTCCATTATTCTTTTACCACATAGTAGGGTGATATGTTCCCTTGTTCGAGCCTTCTCATAAAAATATTTTCCTATTTCTTTCTTTCCAGAGTTCCCAACAAACAGCAAAAGAAATGCAGCTCCAGGCGATCTTGGCCTTGGCATTTCCTCTTACACTTGGCCACTTGGAGAAGACCTCCTCAACCATATTAGGAGACTACCGGCTAGCCTTGAAGATCCCAAAGAAGAAACCCCAAATGAACTTAGAGAAAAGGCAATTGGGAAATGGTTGCCAAAAAAAACCTCTGTTTCGGAGCTTTCTTTGTTTATCTTTTATGCTTCTAATTTTTTAATAAAATCATTCATTATTCATAAAAAAAACTTAGAGAAAAGGCATTCAACAAATAAATGATATACATTCTCCTATGCATTCTCACAAAGCTAACATCTACTAGCTAAGTGGAAACCTCTGTTTTGAAGATGATTCAATGTCAAAATGCTATCTAATGCCACTAGTCATGCAAAAGCTTCCACTCTTGGGGGGACAAGGTTTCCCCAAATCCCTTTCAATTCTGCACTTTCTCCATTTGACCTTGACAAAACCTTGTAGAAAGATTTGACTAAGAACAATCCATTTCTAGATTCTTTCCACCATCTTGAATCCTTCCTTTCCACCTGAGTTTCAGCTAACTGAAGTATTTCCAGTAGATCCACATACTCTTGAATTTCCCAGTCAAAGAGAGATCTCCTAAATTTTGGGCACCATACTACTCTACCTTGATTGATCTCAAAATTCTATGCAACATAGCTATTTTTCATACCCAACCTATACGGTCGAGGGCAAAGATCACATAGTTTCCCAATACCCAACCAATCATCTGCCCAAAATTTGATTGTTGAACCATCTCCAACCTTGAAGAACACAAAGTTGATATAATCCGACTGGAAACACATAATCCCTTTCTACACACATTCCATAGGATGTCTTCACTACTCTAGAATGCCACCCAAACCCAATAACCCCATATTTGCAAGTCACCACCCCACTCCAAAGAGCCTCCCTCTCCAACCCAAATCTCCACAACCATTTTCCTAGAAGAGCTTTATTGAAAATCTTCAATCTTCTTATCCACAAATCCCCATCTTTCTTTTTCATGCAGACCTTATCCCACTTAACTAAGTGGAATTTCTTTTCAATCCCTTTAACTCCCTGTAAGAACTCCTTTTGCATTTTTACAATTGAACTTATCACAAAAGCTAGAGCTTTTAATAGTGAAAGGTAATATATCAGGAGATTGGACTAGTGATTTAAAAGGTGTGCCTAGGCACTCTATGTGCCTCGCCTAGCCCCTAGGTGTAGCACTTTCAAAAGGCGCGCACCTTGCACTTCATCCTAGGCATGTGTCTTTTTTTATTTTTTGCACTTTTTGTTCTTTTTTGAACCTAATAGCTGGGCTGGGGGCCCTTGAGGCAAGCCCAAACGAGCCCTTGCTAGGGTTTTAGATTCTTAATCCTTATTCCTTACACACACACAAAAAAAATGATTTTATAATTTTAATTGCCTTTTGAAAGGCAATTAAAATTATAAAATCATTTTTAATCATTTTTTATGTAAGGATTAAGAATCTAAGACCCTATTATGGACTTGTTTGGGCTTGCCTCGAGGGGCTTGGTACAACAGCAGCTCGTAGAATCATGACTGCAATATGTTTTACATCACATTAGTTATTTGAAAATTTGAAGTAATGCATTTGAGGAAAAAAAGATATTGTGGGTTTTACATGCTTGAAAATGTTTTGTATGTTTGGTTTTATTTTTAAATTTTCCTTTGAATACGCTTTTCATGTTATGTTTATGTATTTTAATTTTAGATAATAGGTCTTTTAAAACACTTATTTTAAAATTTAAGTTTATATTTTATATTAATATAATGTGTTTATGTTTAATATATTTTTATTTTTATTTTTTGTATTTTTGCACCTTGCTTCAAAAAGGCGCGTGCCTTGCCTTGCACCTTGTGCCTCGGGCACAAATTGCCCCTTGCGTTTTTAAAACACTGGATTGGACAACACACTCTTTATAAGAATTATCCTTCCACCAACTGAGAGATACCTTCCCTTCCAACATTCTTTGATCTATTCTGTCAAGAACAGAATAGGGAGACCCAAATAAGTTGAAGAAACCGAAACTTTTGCCCCAATAAGGAGACCCATATAAGTAAAAGGGAACTCCCCCACCAAACAGCCCAAAGTTGTTGCACATTCTTCCAAAAGAGATTCCAGGATGTCACCCACTCCAATCATCACACTCTTCTTCATGTTGATTTTTTTTCCCTGCCAACATTTCATAAAATCTGAGGATCACTCTTAAATTCAGCACGTGCACAGTTGAGGCATCCTGAAATATCAATGTGTCATCAACAAATTGAAGATGAGTAATGGAGACTCCATTTCTTCCTGCTTTAAATCCTTTAGACATCCCAATTTCTGCTCCTTTGCATAATAAGCAACTTAAAACTTCTACCACCAAAACAAACAATAGAGGGGACAATGGGTCTCCCTGTCTCAAGCCCCTTTGGGTTGAGAAAAAGGTGTGGATGTACCATTAACAAGAACTGAAAAGGAGACCAAGGAAATACATGCAAACATCCATCTTCTCCACCTTTCCCCAAAACCCATCCTTGCCAAGATATCATCTAGAATATCCCATTCTACATGGTCATAAGCCTTCTCAATGACAAGCTTGCAAACTAAACTTTGTTGTCCACTCTTCAGTCTTGAATCAACACATTCACTTGGAATTATCACCCCATCAAGAATTTGCCTACCTTCCACAAAAGCCATTTGGGTTGGACCCACATATGCTCTTTGGCACATGTGTTTATCATCTAAGTATTCATATATCTTAAATGCATGGGAAGTGAACAGTGGGATTGCAATATTGCAATTTACATATAAATATTTAGGCCTATGTGTTTGACCATTTGGATATCCATTGTATATGCATTTTCCAAAATATATATGAAATTTGATGAATCAAAGCCAGTTACTTCATTCCTTTTGTTTTTCTTCAGCTTACTATAGTATTACATATTTCTTCTTCATTCTATCTGGTTTACAGAGGAACATTCTGATATTATCTTTTTCTTTTCTATGGATCTTTATACAAATTTTCCTACATACATTTACATATTCCGTCCCTCCTCTTTAGACAAATTGAGATGGCTTTCATTTTGGCTAGGTTTATAACCTAAGTCACCGAGTTTATACATAAATTGGAAGAACAACAAAACTCATCTTTTTGCCATGTTCAATGTGTGTATGCATGTACTTTTTTTTTAATTCAGTAACAGATCAATGACAATTCATTAGGCTCTATTTGGGAAGAGTTATACAAGGTTTAGAAATACTGTATATAATGTTTTGCACTGCACATATTTGTATTTGTACACTTCCCAAACTGAGCCTTAATAACAAAAAGGAATAGGGAGAGATACAAAAGGTGAGATAAAAGCTAGCCGAAGCTATAATACTTAATACAAGATTAAGGAGAAGAGAACTATGTTACAACCATCTTCCACACGGGTCAGACCCCCAGTAAAAGTCTTCCCCATTTGCTACTTCTCTAGCTAAAGAATCAGCTAGGGAATTGTGTGTTCTTTGGATCCACCTAAATGAGGTATTTAGATCGGAAGCCGACGATCTAACCACTCTTAAAGAATGGGAATGAGACCAAAGACCAGATGCAGTTTCCATCATCCACTCAATCTTGTCATGCTCAATAAGTCGGATCTAATTTTTTTGATAGTCAAGGAAATATTTTATTAAGAATTAACCAAAGTGTGTATAGAAAGGCATCTTAGGAGGCACGAGATGCAGCCCCAGGTACAAATCAGCTTACAATTGAGCCCAAAAGATAGATTCCCTGAAAGCCCCTTGCTTAGCTAAAGAATCTGCTTAGGCATTAGCTGACCTTCTTTGCCACTGAATTCTTACAATCATATTAGAGATTAGCCATTTTAACTTCTTTGCAGCTTCCTTGTAGGTCCAAATAACAGAATCTGGATCATTTAGCCACCCAATTACCAACTTGGAATCCCCCTCAACTATCAATCTGTCCACATTTAGCTGTTTTTTTAGGAATCCTTCTTCCGGTGGAGGCCATTCTGGATTAGGCTTAGTTTTAGTGTCTGAGGAGAGTGCCACCGCTTCCCAATTCCTCCATAGAACAGCTTTAAGGTTTTTATCCAATGTATAGCCCTTGTTTTGATGCAGTCCCATAGAGTCTCCAGGTTTCTTTCTTTGTCATTGAAAATTCTAGCATTTCTTTCTTCCCAAATGGTCCAAATCAGTGCAATTTTTGCATACCCCCACAATAATCTACCCCTTTGCTTAGACCAGCTGAAGAAAGAGGTGTTGAAAAGGCCACTGACCTGTAGGAGCTGACCACCTACATCCAAAAATGTACAAATAACTTTTCCCATAAGCTTTCAGCCGCTGGGCAGGAGACAAACAAATGAAAGCAACTCTCTCCACTAGCTTTACAGAGGAAACACCAATTAGGGGACAAGCAAAGGTTAGGTCTTTTAATTTGCAATGCATCCAAAGTGTTTAATTTTACATGGTAAACTTCCCAACAAAGAGCACTGACCTAAGGTGGAAAGGGTTTGGCCCAGACTTCTTTGGAACGGAAAGAGGGGGTTGAAGAAGAAAAGAAAACAAGAGGATCTGCAACTTGACTTGGGTGCACTATAAGTTATCTCCAACTTGATCTTATTGCCAGAGTTGTGAGAACCTATATTATTCCTTTCATATTCATCTGATAGTCACTCTACTGGCTGCATTATTATTATTTTTTTTCATGATGTTTTCTTCAGTTTATATGTTCCTTTCATGTGAAACATTTTTAATTAACTTTTATATGAAAAATTAACTAACCTTCAGATATGATGTCTTTGCCAGTATACATATTTGTCCTTTAGAATGCTGAACCTCTCATGTGTTATTTTGGTTAAGTTTCCTTTAGGTTGAGGCCAAGTGAATCCATGACTATGTCCAGAGTGTGAAGATGGTTCTTCCTACTTCTTGGTCTTTGGTTTCTAGGGTTTGCTAAGGGTTGGATTTTGAGTTCTAATTTACATCAGGGTCCATATCTTCCAGTGTAATTTGCATATTCTGTGCATTTTTGCAAGCTTTCTGGGGCCTTCTGTATTTTCCCTTGCTGCTATTGACTAAAAAAACAAAAAAAGTCATCCAGAGAGAAGCAGATTTGGTGTGAAGAAATTGAGCTATTTGGTGCATTCTTTGGACAAGTATTTTAGAATTAAATCAGAGTGTTATTTTCTTCTCTTCAGCAAAATTACTTCTCCAATAAATGAAGTAAACCATTAGTCATATAAATTAGTATTTAGTTCATTAACTTCCGTAGTAGTGTAAGTTTTTTGTCCGACACATTCATTGCTTCAGCATTGAATAATTCTATGTCCAGGTTTCATTGGTTTGACCTTAGTCAAATGTTTTGCTTGTGGGTCTCATCTAGTTTTTAAATTCAGCTTTCTTATTCTGGTTGCTTTTTAGCAAAAGGTTTTGTGCTTAGCAAAAATTGTGAATGCTTTGTCTTCAATTGTATGCCAATTTCTTGTTCTAGTCATGGTTGCATGAAATCCTGCTCAGATTTGTTACTTAAAAGAAAACATAAAGTGCTGTGCTTGTGAAGTCAGTTACCATATTGACATGAATGTTAAGCAGTATTTACCTCCTTAAAACCATTTATTGTTTTTTTGCTAAGGTTAGAACCATGGATTTTAGAAGTAGAATTTGCTTTCCCAGTACATTATGTTGTATGGTACTTACATTTGTTTTTCTCTTTCTGTCATTATTTTTCACGTGTTTTTTCTAGTATTAGAGACTACATAATTGCTAAGCTTGAACATTTGGTTGTCTGAGCAGGGCTTTTTATATATTTTATTTGATTGAGAGAGCTAAAAAGTGCTTAGATTTTTCGGCCACTGTCTACATTATCCATCTCTTTATATGCATCGCATATGGAGGGTGGCCATCCTCAATTACATGGTGGGTTGTAAATGGTACTGGTCTTGCAGTGATGGCTTTGCTTGGTGAGTGGTTGTGCATAAGACGTGAACTACGAGAAATCCCCATTCTTACACGATATCGTTCAAGTAAGTGTAGCTTTTATCTTTTCATTGTTGAGCTATATGTTGAATTAAATGGTGGAAGAGTAATACTGCAAAACCTTTGTCATTATCACTAACATGAGCATTTTTGTATGAGTCCTAGCTCTGTGAAACACTGATTGCATGATTACTAAAAAGGAACGTTGCTGTTATGCTACATATATTGCTAGTTCGATCCTTACATGTGCCTATTAACTTCATTGGTTATGCTTGAATTCATTGAATTTAGAACAACTGATTTATATGTCTTCTACTTCTAGTGTGTTATAATGAACATTGATATGCATGGCTGTTATTGTAACTAAACATGGTTCATCTTTCTGCCATTTCTTCCTAAATGAGTATGCCAGGAGATTAAAATGTTCTCAGACGGTCCATGTAATTATATAATTGCTTATTAATGATTTCTACCTCATAGGCCATAATGCAGTCGTGCCTTTTCTTCTGATATCCTGCAATCCTGTATGTTCTTCACATCTCTAGTGCCATGACAAAACATTTTGATCATTTATTAGGTAGGTGTTTAGTATTGTGGTTTTTTAAGTCACAATGTTCTCTCTGGATTGGGAAGTCCATTGGGGAACCTTGGCTTCTAGAGCTCTTCCAAGGGTGACCTCCGATCATTGGCCCATAGTGTTATGTAAGGAGGAAAGAAGGCGTGGAGGTCCTACCCCCTTTAGATTTGAAAATATGTGGTTACTCCACCCAGGGTTTAACAAC